GGTGGAGGCCAGGAGAACCCTGCTAAAGACAGATAGGTCAAGGCCAGAGCCTGAACCGGGACCATTGCTCAGACCACACGGTCGTCCATCGTCCCGGGGAGCTGAGAGCGTAGGAGCCGGCCTGCCCTGGACGCACAGGCCCGGGACCCACGCAGGAGCAAGAACAGCCCCTACGTGGCAAGGCTGTAGACAGCAGGGCACACTGGCTGCGGCGGGCGCGGCCGGTTCTCCCCTCACATCCTTTACTCGGCTCCACGTGGAGGTAGCTGATTGCTTGCTTAGCATATGCAAGACCCCTGGGTCAGACCGGAGCACTCATCCAGCCATAAGGTGCATGCCTGTAACCCCGGCAGTCACGAGTCTCAAGCAGGATTACAAACTTGAATCAGGTTGGACTACATAGCAAGGCTCTAAAGAGGAAGATTCACTTACTCAGGGTGAAGTCTGGACCTGCCTAGAGCAGCAGAATCTCAGGTGTCCCCCAGGGACTCATCACCCACTTCCCCTCTCTGCCTTCCAGAGCCAGCGTGTTCCCCTCCACCTGACCCCTGCTCACCAGGACAGTCGTGCTTCACTCACCTTACACCTGCCAGCCTACGACTGAGCTGCCCAGGAGGCATGAGCACTTCCAAGCTCTATACCTTAGTGCTGGTGCTGCAGCCCCAGCGGGTCCTCCTGGGCATGAAGAAGCGGGGCTTCGGCATGGGCCGCTGGAATGGCTTTGGGGGGGAAGTGGAAGAAGGAGAGACCATCGAGGATGGGGCCAGAAGGTGAGGAAAGGGGGCTCTGCACACACAGCCTGCCGGGGATGAGGGGATGAGGGTTCCATCTAGATTCAGAGCCATACACCCTGGGAACTGTGGCCCAGAGCAGGGATCTATCCCTTGAGCTCTGCATCTTCACCTGAGTGGGACAGTGGCAAAGACTAAATGAGAAAGTGCTGGCCAAGGACTGTGGTCTGCCTGACTCTATCAGTGGGAAACCTTTGGGACACTATTGGAGTCATCGGGGCATCTTCATGTCTAACTACAGGGCTTACCAGTCACTAGTCTTTTTAATTTTCAGGGTAGCTGATGGTTCCACACATACATACCCCTTTATCTTAACCTTTTGTCCACACAGCTCTACTTGGTCCAACTACAGCTTCTCTTGGGAAGGAACGAAGGCCCAGAGAGGTTGAGTTGATTTCCCACCTCACACAGTCCTCCAGGTGGCCTCTGCCCTCACTCCTCCCAGGAGGATAAATGAGGTCATTAATGCAAGTGGTGCTCAACCCTGCACAGACAACCAGGGAGGGAGTTGTGGTGGTGGTAGTTGTGGTAGTTGTTTTGAGACGGGATCTCAAATTCACAATCCCCTTACCTCAGCTTTCCCAATGGCATGCACTAACATGCATGCCGGTTGTTCTGATTCTGATGAAAGCTGGTGGCACCCATAGGTTGCCTTCTTCCCTGGAGAGAATGAAAACCCGTCTATGGATGAGAGACTCTGGGAAAGGAGGGAAATTGGGATGTTGCAGCTTAGTGGTTTTCTTTTTTTTTTTTGTGGTGGCCTTGTGTTTTGACATCACAGTAGGTACAGTAATTTAGCTCTTAATTATTAAAAAAAAGTATTAATTTAAAAAAAATAGAGCATACACACCCAGCTAAAATCATGATAGCCTTAGTAGTGGAGGTTTGAATTCAAAATTCAGCACAACTAGGCAAGCGCTCTACCACTTGTCACATCTCCAGCCCTTTTTTTGCCTTAGTTATTTTTCTGATGGGGTGCCTAGGGTTGGCCTTAGATTGAGATCCTACTACTGTGCCTCCCATATACAGACTTGAACCTCTACAGAAGTCTCACTATCTATTTGTCCTTGCTGGCTGGCCTTGAAACACAATTGCCCCCAGTCTCTACCTCCCAAGTACCTCTGGATTATAGGTGGGAGCCATTCCCTAGGCCTGGGACCCCAGCATGCAAGCTGAACAGGTTCCTAAGTTGTTATACCGAAGTCCCACAAGGGGGAGCTGAGCAATACCTCCTTTTCCCAGGTAGCAGTGACTATGCCATGTGTCTGGGTTTAACACTGCCCAAAAGAGGGCCAAGTTGAGTGTCTTCTCTGTGACTGTGAGTACTTGGATACTGTTTGGGTTGTGGGTGCCATTATTGGGTCTTGAACTCAGGACATTGTCCTTTAGTTCTTTTTGTCACGGTGGTGCTCTACCACTTAAGCCACAACTCTACTTCCTGCTTTTCAGTGGTTAATTGGAGGTAAAAGTCTCATGGACATTTTTCCAAGGCTGGCTTCTAACATCTGTCCTCAGATCTCAGCATCCTAAGTAGTTAGGATTAGGGTCATGAGCCAAATGCACATAGGTAAGGATGAGTGGTGTGTCTGTGTATCTGTGTCTGTGTCTGTGTCTCTGTGTGGTGTGTCTGTGTGTTTGTGTCTGTGTGTGTCTGTGTCTGTGTGTGTTCCTGGCAGTTGAACTCAGAACCTTGTATTCCCAGTCCTTTACTTTGTGAGAAAGTGGGGGGGGGGTATTTATTTTTATTATTATAAAAGTGATGTACGTGTTATATATTACAGACTGTGATAGACAATTTGCTCCAGGAAAGTTAGAATGAACTTGTGACTTAGAAATTATGTAATTACTTAATCACAATCAAAAAAAAAAAAAGAACTTCGGGGAAGGGAGGGAGGGAGGGGATGGTAGGGGGAAAACAATGGAGGGGCTAACAATGTTCAAGAGGAAGTGTACTCATTACCTCACTCATGTAACTGTAACCCTCTGTATAGTATCTTTACAATAAAAAAAAAAAAAGTGATGTACGGAGGGCTGGGAAGGTGGCTCATTGGTAGAGTGCTTGCCTTGCATGCATGAGGACCTGGGTTCAATTCCTCAACACTACGTAAGCAGAAAAAGCCAGAAGTGGTGCTGTGGCTCAAGTGGTAGAGCACTAGACTTGAGCTGAAGAGCTGAGGGACAGTGCCCAGGCCCAGAGTTCAGGCCCCACAACCAGCCAAAAAAAATTGATGTATGGAGAGGTATGTGTATGTAAGTCAAGTGCTGAGTACATTTCTCTTTAGATAATGTCACCCATTCCCTTGTTCTCTCCCAGTTTTTCCCTCCCATCCCACCCACAAATTGTGTAGTTCATTTTCAACATAGTTACGGTTTGGATTAGAGTATGAGCCACCTGCTTCTGAATTCTTTTTTTTTTTAATTTATTTATGCACGTTGTTAAGGTAATATTTCCAATATATCACAGTAATACAGTGGCATTAACTAAAGCAATCACAATGTCTCTTCATGTTAGATGCTTATTGAAACATTCATATTTATTGTAAGTACTTTTTAATCTTCACTACTGCTGTGACTTAAGCATATCATTACCCCCACTTTTTTTTCTCTTTTTTTTTAGCTGGTTGTGCAGCTTGAACTCGGCCTGGGCACTGTCCCTGAGCTCTTCAGCCCAAGGCACGCCCTCTACCACTTCAGGCATAGTGCCACTTCCAGTTTTCTTGAGATTACTTGGAGATAAGAGTCTCCTGGACGATCCTTCCTGGGCTAGCTTTGAACCACCAATCCTCAGATCTGAGCCTACTAAGTAGCAAGGATTACAGGTGTGAGCCACTAGCACCTGGTTACCCCCACTTTATTATTGAGCAAATTAGGGCTTTTAGAATTTTATTTTCTAAATTTACACAACTTTTAGCATTTCGTCTAGGTTTCTGGACACAAATCTGTGGCAGTAATATTTTTTGATCCATACTAAGCATGTCCTGAAACATTCTGTGGAAATGTCATTAAAGAAAACATCATAGTTCTTGAAGCTACTCTTTACAGAGTTTCATCTGAGACTCATACTAATACAACCAATCTTTTAAACTCAGGTTTTCAATAGTACATACTTCTGGCAATTTTTCCTTTTAATGGATTACTCTTATTACACTTCTGTTAGCAATTCTGCACAAACTCATTAACATTTCTGTCTCAAATTTTAGACCACTACAAATCTCTGAGGCTGTTGATGCATGGTTGTGAAAAGAATGTGTGCTATGACACAAAGATAACAACCAAAACCTAAATTCAATAAATACAAGCAGCAAAACTTCAACAACCTGAATATATACTTGCTGTGACAAACTGTCCCTAGATAGTAAATAAGTATCTGCCAAAGGACAAAGGCCACTGACCACTACCTGACTGGTTCCAAGTTTGAGGCATAGGTATACTTTGAAGAATGTACAGTATGAGAGTAAAAGGATTTCTGCAAGGATCATGATAACTAATTTCAATATCATAGTGCATTTCAATTTTGAGACGTGTTTGTGCCTTCTCAAACCACTGAAGTTGGGCTGGGAAGGTGGCTCAGTGGTAGAGCGTTTGCCTTGCATACATGAGGCCCTGGGTTCGATTCCTCAGCACCACATAAGCAAAAAGAAAAGTCGGAAGTGCCGCTGTGGCTCAAGGGGTAGAGTGCTAGCCTTGAACTAAAGAGCTGAGGGACAGTGCCCAGGCCCAGAGTTCAGGCCTCATAATTGGACCCAAAAAAAAAAAAAAATCCAATGAAGTTGCCTATAGTCTGCTTTAGGGACTCTGGGGAAACACAGTTCTTTGACTTGGTTTTTTGAGATAATTTTATTTTTATAAAATAATTACAAAAATTGTTCAGGGCGGCGAACGTGGCTTAGTGGTAGAGTGCTTGCCTAGCATGCATGAAGCCCTGGGTTTGATTCCTCAGTACCAAATAAAGAGAAAATGCTGGAAGTGGGCACTGTGGCTCAAGTGGTAGAGGGCCAGCCTTAAGCAAAAAGAAGCTCAGGGACAGTGCTCAGGCTCCAAGTTCAAGCCCCAGGGCTGGCAAAAAATTTCAAAGGGTTACTTATCTTTTATCAGCATCTCCTTAAGGCTGAAAACCCACAGGATCTTAAACTTACCAAGAGATGTAACACTTTATTTTTATTTTTTATTTTTGTCCAGTCGTGGGGCCTGAACTCTGGGCCTGGGCGTTGTCCCTCAACTCTTCAACTGAAGGCTAGTGCTCTACTACTTAAGCAACAGCCACTTCTGGCTTTTTTTTCTTTTTGCTTATGTGGTACTGGGGAATTGAACTCAGGGCCTCAGGCATGCAAGGCAAGCGCTCTACCACCGAGCCACCTTCCCAGCCCAGATGTAACACTTTAAACTAAACTACTTTAGTTCCTTGGCTTTATTAGTACTCACCAGCATGTTTCACTACTCTACTTTCACAAAATCTAATCTGGCCTGCTTAGTTAGCCTGTTTACTTAGTTTACCTAATCTGCAATACTTCCTCTGTCTTTCCCAGTCTTATTAACTATGGCCTTGAGACTTTCAAATATTAACTATCCAAGTGAAAGGCTGGAACAAAGTCCTTCAAGCAAATGGCCCTCATAAACAGGCTGGGGTAGTAATACTAGTATCAGAAAAAAACAGTTCAAATTACAAGTAGTCAGAAAAATCAAAGAAGGACATTTCATATTAATAAAGCAAAGGCTGAGTTAGGTTTCTGTGTGGTGTAGTTCCCTGGTCTTAATTGTTTCTTTAGTAGTTTTTGTAGTGCTGGCTTCTTGTTCATGAATTCCTTTTTCTTTTTTTTTTTTGTCGGTCGTGGGGCTTGAACTCTTGGCCTGGGCGCTGTCCCTCAGCTCTTCAGCTCAAGACGAGCGCTCTACCACTTGAGCTACAGTGCCACTTCT